TAATTGGGCAATTCGTGTATTAGCATCATGTAATTATTTGTACAACTCTGTGAGAGTTATTCTTTTTGGGCCTTTAAGGCTCTTTAGCAATAGTTTGCCTGTCTGTGCTCTCTAAAAATAACTCTATTAGTTAATTTTCTATAATACTAAATCAAAATAAAAAAATTTTTTTTGGATGACTATTATTATGTGGATTGACTTAGATAAGATCAAAAAAGATATTTATCAAAAGAAAAAATATATATTATGTAGACATAGACTTACTGTAATTATTAACAAATTAAAAAGCATAATTTCTTTGCTATTGTAAAAAATATGTTTTAATAATTATACATCATTAATTAAAACTTTATCACATTTCTTTAAAATGAAAATACAAACTTTTAGGCTTCATTAAAACTATAATGCTTGTTGATAAAATACAGATCTTTTATTACATAAATTAATAAGAGTCTGTAACTTCTTGTTTAAAAAGTTACAAGACTCTTGCTTGCTTGCTATAGTGTGTTTTGTATTAACATAATATCCTATATATCGACAGGATTTTTTCAATAATCTACCAAAATATAGTATTGGATTACTGTTCTACAACAACAAATACAACAACATTATGATAGAAAAATACTCACTTTGTTTTTTTAGCCATATTATGATATTGTTAGCAGTGTTTAAAATTCAAAAAAAATTTTCGTCAAAAATGTATTTTGTGCACCTTTTTTAAAAAAGCATTACATACACACTTAGGAGATTTTTTAAAATTTAAAAAATTACAAAAAAACCACATGCACATATGCATCTTGTGTATGCCAATTTTAAACCCTAATTGTTAGGTATTTTTATAACTACGTTTGTTAGTTCTACTGAAATTTAACATTAGATTATTGCATTATTGTACTTGTACTCTATCACTATAATGGACATATACTCACTAAGTTTTGGATTCATTGTAGTAGTAGTTGCAAAAACCTTTGAAAATATTATTATATTTATGTAAGAAAAACTAATTTTAAAGTCACAATTTATAAATATGAAAAAATCTAAATCAGGTTAACTCTGAGTTAGCTATCATTAATAACTTTTTTTATAATTATTTTAATGGAAATTCTATTAATTTTATTCTATATATTGTCGGTTTTAATCTATTTATTTATTTAGTTAGTATATAATTACAAATTGATAACAAAAAAAATTAAATAAATAAAAATAAATTAAAAATAAATTATTTTTTTTTTTATATATAACTATTTACGATCATAAACTTTATATTAGTCAATATTGAAGATTATATTAGATACCAGCTATTCAATAAATATTATTTTTATTATATTATACTGCAACTTGTAAATCAGAAAAAAAAACTTTAATTATCTAGCTGTAGTACATTAAATAACCGCTATTACTACAGTCTCGGATATTACCAAATAAGAAAATTAGCCTATTACTAATAAAAGACTATTTTAGAATAAAAAACATATATTTTTATCTTTTTAAAAAAAAAATTCATTTAATAATAAATCTTCGAATTAATTTTAATATAGATTGTTCTATGACTATATAGTCCAGGAATCCTGCATGATCCCAGAAGCTTAAAAGGCAGTTGTTTATCAAATACAAAGATAAAAGATGATTGGGCATAAATTTGGCTCTAAAGATTATCATAGATCAAAATAAACTTAAATAGAAATGTTAGAATTTTCTAATTGTACTAAAAAAGATATGATCTGCATCATCTAAATTTGATAATATCCGAGACTGTACTACTGTATATGTTTTAGTCCTCAAATATAGTAAATAAATATTATAATCAATTTTTTATACTTTTTATTATCTAAGTTAAGACAATCTATAAGAATCTATTCTTTTATAATACTTTGTATTAAAAAAAAATAAATAAACAAAATAAAAAATAAAAAAATCATTATATACTGATTATACTGAATCAATCTTATTATTATCGAGTAATTATTAGTTTGGTTAAATTTTTAATTGTCTCAGAATTAGGGGTGAAAAGTTAAAATAAATTTTGGCAAATAATCGGCTTTCAATTGATTTTTTTATTCAATTTTATTTTTTTTATAATTCAATTATCACTCTTTTCAATTTAGTTAGATCGATAAATTTTGAAGATTTTTTTTGTCTATAAGTTTCAAGAATCTATGATTCATATATATATATGACTGTATATATTAATTATTTGCAATTGTTGCTATTTATTATTATAATATAATAGGCAGTTAACAATTACAAATAATTATTATATGAAGAAAATATGTATATATAAAACTCTCTAATTTATGAATTTATAGGACACAAAGATCTAAAAAATTTCTCAATCCAACTAAATCAAAAAGAGCAATAATTGATAAAGAATAAAATATCTTATATGATAATTTATCTGGATATTTTAATAATTCCTAGTCAATATATCAAGATAGTAGAAATTATTACAACTAATGCAGAAGCTTAAAAGTGATATAAAGATTTACTACAGAGCAGAGTTTTTAAAAATCTGTAAACATTATGATAATAAAAGTCTAGACAATACATTTATAGTTTCTTCCAAAAGTATATTATCATTATATATACAAATCAATAACTAATATTGCATAAACTGTAATATATACTTTAAAATTAATTTAATCAGATTATGGTTTATTATATATTTGATTTTTACTTAGAGTTTGAAATAAATTTATAAATATATTCACCTGGCTATATGACTCTAGCCATGGTATGGGTTTATTTATTTGCTTTTGTAATACAACCTATATAAGTTACTCTCATTATAGTGAAGTGATTAGCTGTAGAATTTTTTTACTATATCAGAAGTTTATTAGTTAAATTTTGAGTAAATTTACTATAAACTGCTCTTCACTATACTTATATTAAGAGTTTATAATAATGAGAATAACTTGTATCTGTATATATGAAATAGATTGATATAAGACATAACAAATGCAGAGCTACTTTCAATTAATATCTTTATATTAATTTAGACACTTTTTTTTTTACTTTCTTTTTTTGTCTTTTCTTTATATACTTCTATCTATTCTATATAAGGTTTAATTTGCAATTTGTAACTTTGATATCAACTATACTCAAGACATAGATAAGTATTACAACTACTTTAATATTTTTCTTTTATCTTACTTTATTGCCTCTTACTAATACTAACAATTTATTTTTATTTAATTATTGTTCTTTGACCCTACTAAGTATTTTAAATACCACAGAAGCTAATTATTTTATTACATTTTGTTTATCTTACATTTACTACTAATAATTTTACTTTATTTCTCACAAATTTCTATTACTCACTAAAACATTATTTCATAATTTATTTGGTGCATGAACATGCATCTTATCTGTTGTTATGTTAATCTTTAATTTCAAACTCAGATTATAAATATTAATAATTTTAATTTTTTAATAGAAATATAATATACTACAAATATATATTTTAAATATTTTACATTGTACAAATGCAGAAATATAATAATTAGTATGTGCTTGTTCATAAAAACATTCTACCTCAAAATTATTAGATTTTTTTTTTTATTTGTATTACTTACTTAATGTGAGATTTGGTTCCTAATATACAATTATTTATTCATAAGACACTACCAACTACTCAGAAATGATCAAATTTTTTGCTTGAGGCACTCTAGGTAGTTAAATTACAGTATATCATAAAATGTGTATTTGCTATACTGTTATAACAAATCAATATAATTGTATCATATCATGCCTGTTTTATGAGCCATAGCTCAACTTTTATATGCTATAACTTTATTTTTATATATTATAATATAGCTGTTATTGATTATAAATTATACTATTAATGTTTCTCTTTAATTTGCATAGTGCAATATAATATAAGTATAGATGATATATGTATGTTTAAATTAACATGTAATAAAAATGTAATACTCATGATCAATAGTGGCTATACTAGAAATTTATATATATAATAAGTTTTATATGACTATATTATATAAAGTGCAAATATATAATAATTTATTATTTCAATTATTCTATCATTAAATACAGCATTCAAGCTGCCATGTTTGTGAGCTATATATTGCTATTTAGTAAATTTTAACTAGCTAGTATTAATATTTAATCTACTTAGTATTTTAAGTCACATTATGATAATTCTTTAATATTTGGATAGTAAGTTCAAATCTTAGTTATTGCTTCTAATCAAAACATTGATCTTCTATCTTCAAATAATTGAAGATTTGATTTGTAATATTTTCGAGTGCATTTATTTATAATAATAATATTTTTATAAGAATAATAGTGTGGCTTTGAAATTTGTTAGTTTGAACTAAAATAATTCATTACAAATCATAATTTAATGTAATTTATGTCATAATTGGTATTATTATACCAATTATTATATACAAAAAAAAAAATTATAAGAAAAAAATAATGAAATAAAATTATAGATAAAAATTATAAAAAATAATATTAAGCAGAAATTTACATTTTTAATATTTATTCTAGTGTTATATGTTTTGTAAATTTGATACAATGACAATGCACAATTATTAAAAAAAATTATACCTAATAATTTTAAATAGATTATTCATATTAGTGATATATACACATCTACACATATCCACACAGAGTATAAAGTTTTTATGACATGAACAGCTCTTTGTTTTGCAGTTTGCTCTATTACAACTGCACTTGTTGCTTCTGTTTGTTTTTGAATTATTAAGTTTTAGTTATGTTTAATAATTTTATTAAAATTTGCTATACTGAAATATTACATAAGATAAAGTGCTAAGTGGAATAATATTAAGTACTAGATATTTGTTAGTGCCTAATAGTTCTAATTCATTTACCAGATACTATTTATCTATGATCCCAAATTCACATCCAACTTGAGATAAATTATAATTAGAGTTTTTTTTAAAATAGCCTTACAAAGAAGTGCATGTCAATCAATTCTTGCTTGTTGATAAAAATTTGGTTTATTTTAAATAAAAATATTACCTTTTGCTTCCATATTCTAATAAGCTTGATGAATTACAACATAAAATTCTTCTATAGACAAATTTGTGTACTATGATTATAGTTTGCAGTAGCTCTTCAATATCTCCAGTTTTAATTATCTAAATATATAAAGAATCTAATTTTTTAATTAGTATGTACTTATAAGATTTTACAAAAGCGTCAAACAACAAACTTGGCAATCATTCAACCAAATTTGCTAAATTATTTTTAATTTATTTAATTCCACAGATCTATAAAATTTAATAAAAAAATTCATCAAATTTGGTTAGATTGTTACTGAGATATCTTCAAAGTTTTTAAAAAAGTAATCTACATAGATGTGGTAATATAAGTAATCAAAAAAAATGAAATACATATTATGAATCGATTCCTTCAATCAAAGTTAAAAAATTTTAAACATCTATCAAATATTAGCTATAAAAAAATTAGTTAAAGGTAAAGTATCTCAATGTCCATCTAATTTATTTAAATTCTACAAATTTGTAGAGTTTAAATAAAAAAATTTATTGAGCTTAGATGATTGTTGTGATACTTTTGATCAAAGTTATAAAAATTTTAAAAGTCTATTAAAATATTAGCTATAAAAAATTAAACATGATTTTGATCTAAGGTGTTTCTACAACCATACAACACAATTTGATGAAGTTTTTTTTTTTGAATTTTACAGATCTGTAGAACTTAAATAAAAAAAAATTTATTGAATTTGATATCAAAAAAATTAGCTATGACAAAATTTTTCTTAACTTAGATTGAAGGCCTCTATAACTACAACTAAATTCGATAAATTTTTTTATTTAAATTTTACTGATCCATAGTTTCAAATAAAAACAAGTTTATCGAATTTACCGTGTAATAACACAAATGAAATTTTAAAATATGGCCTAAATACTAAAATTAAAAATATTCTAATATAAGTATACTAATAAAATTAATTAAAAAAATAAAATAGAAATAAAATTAGCTACTATCTGCAAAATATATAAACATAATTTTATATAAGTTATAATCTTGCGAAAGAATTACGCAACAATATGTAATCTTTTGCAATTATTATTATTTTTTTTAATTCGGCAGTCATGCTTTAACTTTATTAGGCTTTGTATGACTCGTCTAGATTCATAAAATTTTACACTAAGTTGCATTTAGAAAGGTAAGTAATAAACTCTTAACTTGTCAGCAAATAGCGTATGAGAACTATCTCTAAATGACAAGCGCCATAGTATTAATCCTATTGTTTATCTAAATTACAAGTTAAAACTAACCCGGTTATCAAATGGTATCTTTGTTTGACCTGCTATAGCAAGATTTTCTTTCTTTTGGACCTCTCCTGCAATTGGATATGATCTGACTCTTAATAGTGTATCCTGCCACCCGTCATGACTATTTCTCCTTTCTTTTAGACTTCTTCTACCTAAGCCTGACAACATAATTAAACTCTTACTCATATATAAAAATGAAAAAAATAAAGCCATGTTTATGAAAGATATAAACATTTTAGAAAAAAAAACACCTCATGGTAGAAAAAAAAACTTTTTAACAAATTCTAAAATAGTCTAACATAAATGAACAAAGATGAAAAAAGTGAATAAAAAGAAAGGTAGCTATGACACTATTATAGCCTGTGCCAGACATAAGGGTAAAAAATATATAATAATTGCAACCAATTACTATATCTCAATTGTAAACTTTTGGTTTAGTTTTGGGACTCATTCCGAGCACTGACTCGACTTGGGTATCTCCTAAACAGAGTAGTGATCTCTTCCCCATACTGTAGCACTATATTTGTAAAACAACAAAACATGTGGTTGCCTTCTACTGAGTTTGTCCCAATTTGGTAGGTGTAAACAATGTCAATCTTTTGAAGAGAATAAGCTAAAAAGCCCACTTTTTGTCGAAAATTTTGGTAAGAAAAGCAGAAAATGAAAAGAAAAGAGAAACCTCTTGGTACCACTTAAAAAAGAGTAAGTTACTAAAAACAACAAAGATAGCCTTTCACCCAGGCAGTGCACTACTTGAATTTTGGCAGTAAGTAATAAACTCTGAACTTGTCAGCAGGTAGCATATAAGAACTACCTCTAAACGATAAGTGCCGGGCTTGCAGTAAATGATAAACTCTGAAACTGTCAGCAGGTAGTGTATGAGAACTATCTCTAAACAACAGGTGTTATATTATGGTTCTTTCTTTTTTGACTTATAGGCTGGGAGGTCAGTTTTTACTGTTTTTGTTGAGGAGTTTTTTCAGAAAAATTTGAACCAAGTGATCGTTGGAAAGAGTTGTATTATTTGCTATTGATCTTTTGCAATTATTAATTATAAAATATTACAAATACATATATAATAAATTATGCAATATTATATAAATTAAATCACAATAATTCAAAATAAATTGCAACTATGTGAAATAAACTAATAAAAGTAGTGACAGGAAAAATAAAATTTTTATATTAATTATAGGAAAACAGATAAATTAACTATATCAGTTTTACTTAGTATTGATCAAATATAATAGAATTATTTTGAAATATTTTAAAATAATTTAATAAAAAATGCATAATATATAAATATATTTGAATTGTAATAATTTATGATTTAGTCATCAAATTAATTACAAAATACTAAATTTATTATACTAAATGTAATTTATTTAAATAAACAATATTAATATTTTATAATAACTTTATTATTTTATTTTATTTAAAGGAGTTTGCTATTTATCACCACTAGTGATCATCACCAGTGTTGCTATATCTCAAAAATGTACAAAGTAAATGGGATCGGGTCCTCTAAGTAAAAATGATGTTCAGGACCCCCAAAAACCTCAGAAGAACTAAGATCGGGCCCTATCAGTCCTTATATTAGCTCTATAATATATTGGCAAAAATACATTAGCAACCCGTCGCTATACGACCCTAAATGATTGACCAATCAAATTTGAGATCGATGATCATCAATTTTGCTCTCCAAAAATTTTTTTTTGAATTTTTTTTTTTTTTTTAGTTTATACACCTATATTTAATACAAATACTTTATTTTTTTA